ATGGGGCCAGGACCACGTAACAACCCCAGGGCAGCCCTGGTCTGCACAGCTTTCCAGACTGAGAAGAAGCACTGAGGTGAGACATGGGGACACACCCATTTCACAGATAAGAACAAGGAGTGCTGAGAAGCCAGAGCACAAACAGCTGGGATGCTTTAACCTCCAGAACTGGGAGTCTCACTGGCTGCCTGGCATCTCCCCTTTCCCTCTCAGGCGTCCCTTGGGGATCGAAGTGGCACAAGGGCAGTCTCCCCAACTGTCTCAGCCTCCTCACAGTACTCCACTCTGGTCAGCCCCAACTCCTGCTCCAAGGCCAAACAGCAGCTCTGCTTCTGTTCTCACACCAGCTGGCCATGATACCAGGCCACTTCTGAGTAGGTCCAGACCCAAAAACAAGGCAGGGGGATAATCAGCCAATACAAAGGCCAGAGGAGACACCCATGACTGACGTGATTGACAGGAAGGAGGTAGGGGATAGGGGAAGAATGGCTTGCTAGAAATGGGGTGCTGAGACACACTGATGACATGCAGAACCTGGCAGGAGGCTGTGTCATGCTAGCTGTACCTGGGCAGTCATGGATGGAGTTACACCAGAACCCTCCAAGCCACCAAGGTCCACAGATATTCAAGTAATCTGTGTGTCAACAGTATTTTTTTTTTTGCATAAAATCTATATGTGTCCTTCTACAAACTGTAAGTACTGTCCAATTGACTTGTAGTACAATGTCAGGGCTACAGACCTGTCACACTGTAAGATCTAAGAAGTGGCAAGAACCTGTGTTTGTAACATTCTATAATTTTTCAAATACCCTCTAGCTGGTTTTCGCTGAAATCTGAGGAACCTGCAGACACACAGGGCAGATTGTACTATTGAGCTCAAATCCAACAAAATTCCAGGCTCCCAATGGTCCTCCTGGAAGGTATTTATGACACTGCCTTCCTATCAGGCTGACAGAATCAGCTCCCCATGCAGCTGATTCGAGAACCCGGGAAGGTTGGGTTAGTCAGAGTCATAAGATTTGTACCCATTTGTGCCCTGGCCCCCTCCCTGAACTGTAAACTCTCCAAGAGCAGGAAGGACATCCTAAGCCTCTCACTTTCTCTCAAAACTTCAGATTTTACGTGATTAAAGGGCAGTAGTGCCTCTTTCCTTGGGACCCGCCAACATGGGCCGCGTTCATACCAAGACAGTGAAGAAGGCAGCCCGCGTGATCATTGAGAAGTACTATACGCGCCTGGGAAACGATTTCCACACCAACAAGCGCGTGTGCGAGGAAATCGCCATCATCCCCAGCAAGAAGCTCCACAACAAGATAGCAGGCTATGTCACACATCTGATGAAGCGGATACAGAGGGGCCCTGTGCGGGGTATTTCCATCAAGTTGCAGGAGGAGGAGAGAGAAAGAAGAGATAATTACGTCCCTGAGGTCTCAGCCTTGGATCAGGAAATCATTGAAGTAGATCCTGACACTAAAGAAATGCTGAAGCTTTTGGACTTCGGCAGCCTCTCCAACCTGCAGGTCACACAGCCTACCATCGGGATGAATTTCAAAACACCACGTGGAGCTGTTTGAATCTTTTTGCTGTGCTGTAATGTCAATAAATTTGGGACAATGAAAAAAAAAAAAAAAAAAAAAGGGCAGTAGTCCCTGAGGGTGCCTTCGTAACTGTTTCTTCACAGCTGTGTCCTGTTACACTGAAGCCACCTGCGAGTGTAATCCTCACAATGCACACAGGGAAGAGGTGCCCAGACCCTTCTCTGGGGCAGGACATTGTTTATTGTGCCCCTAGCGCCTTGGCCTCCTAGACAGCAGCACACCTACATGCCCTGTAACAACCACAGAATGTCCCCAGACACTGCAAGTGTCTTTGGAGGGGGCAGGGTTGCCCTGGTTGAGAACACTGCAGGACAGGCATGACTGCTTGTTCCTTTTGTCAGAGCGGGAAGCAAAGACTCAAAACGTCAAGAGCTCTAGGCCAGGCATAGTGGTACACACCTGTAACCCTACCCCTTAAGAAGCTGAGGCAGAAAGATCACCATAAAGGTCACCCTGGGTTACAAAGTCAGTTCTCAACCCATTTTTACATTGGGCACAGTGGCACATGCCTATAACCCCAGCACTCAGGAGGCTGAGACACGAAGGTTGTTAAGATCCAGGCCAGACTGAAACAGTGAGACCTTGTCTCTAAACAAAACCAAGGACCAACTACACCATCAGACCATCTCAAAAAACCAAAAAGATGCTGGGCATGGTGGATCATTGAGAGTTCAAGACCAGCCTGAACTACAAAGTGAGCCCAAGGCCAGCCTGAACTGCAAAGTGAGTCCCTGTCTCAAAAAGACCAAAAAACAAAACAAACAAAACCCAAAAAAACATTTCCCAAAATTAAAATGAGGCCAAGAGCTCTGAAAGAGTCTCACGGCTCAGCAAAGTGGCTCTGGCCATAGGGCTCTGCATGGCACCACCTGCTCACCTGGCCAACAACCTCATGCATCAGGAGAGGTCCCCAAATTTTCAAGGACACTGAGACCTCTGCTAAGGCAGGGAAGGGCAACAGTAACAGCAGCCATACACAGAGCAGTCTGGCACAGCCAGATCCTGACAAGCCTAGACTGCAGTCAGAGGGTTCTCCAGGGAACAAATGCAAGGAAGTAAGGGCCAGCAGCAAAGGCTTTGGGGATAATGGGGAGTGAAGGCTACTCTGCATAGGAAAGGATGACAACATGCAGCACCTCCAGCTATGGACTTGCAGCTCAGTTTGAGCATGGAGCCCTGCTCAGCGCCACTAAGAGGGAGCAAGGTTACAAGACTCCAAAGCTGGCTCCATGTTTTGAGGCCACTGCCCAGGGCACAGCTCAGGTGTCCCACTGAGACCTGGCAAGATCGAGTCTCATAGGCTCTGGTTATGACTCCAAACTCCAGGGTCAAGCCTCACCCAGCAACCATGAAACTTTTGGAATCTCTGCCTTTGGCCTCTGGGCCAACCCTCCCAGTCCATCCTATGGATCTATCCTACTACGAGATCAGATGGACCAAACCCCAGATCTTTTAGAGCCCAGCTTAAGTGCCTGCTGGGGCTCCCCACGATCCAGCCAGTAGTAGGTCAGATTTTTTTAAAAATTTATTTGTGTGTGTGGCCAGCTCAGCCCACCAGGGGGTTTGGCTGGCATGTGGTGCTGGGGGATTGAACTGCGGTCCCTGTGTTTGCTAAGCTTGTTCTAAGTAGGTGCTTTAGACCACTGAGCCATCTCACCAGCCCCAGTAGGTCAGATTTTAAAAGATGCTGGATGCAGGCCAAGGTGTATGAACATCTTAAGGGGCTGGGGAGATTCACAAAACGAAGATAGGGTTTCTCCTTTATGCAAGCAGCACTAAGAATCTGTCTCCACACCAGGGTTATCCCTCCTTCCCACAAGACAGAATGTTTCAAGTGCTTAGTGGGAGCCTGGCACAAACTCAACAAAAGCTTTGAATGCGGTCTCCTCCTGCCTCCGGCACCCCTCCCCCACTCATCTCTTATTATTCTGTCCAAAGCTTTCCCGGAAGCCTTCCCTGACCACCCAACCGAAATCTCTCCACCCCTCCTGGCTCTTCACTGCGCTGTCTTCCTCTTGTTATACTACCGTATTTTCACAAACACACAGCACCCTCTACTCTCTGGACCCTTCCTTGTCTGAGGCAGGTCACCTGCAGCCCAGGCGCCCAAGTCACTCAGAGGGCTGGCTGCTTCCCTAGCTCCTAGCGGGGAATCAGTACACAAAAGAGAAATTGTTCCCTCAGCAGTATGCAGGGATATGCTTGCCTAGCAGTACATCTCAAGTTATTACCAGTACCTTCTCCAGCTCCAGGGAAAGGTCCTGCCTGACACCTCCCCCAAATCAGGCCCAACTTCCACCCATCCCTGACCCTGGTTCAGCAGAAACTAGAGATCCCTGTCCCAACCAGGCAAGAAATAAGATGTTAATGTCTGCAAGACACAGCCTGAAACAAAAGATGAAGGAAACAGGTGCAAAGGCCCTGAGGTGACACTGGAGGAGGCTGGTGCCATAAAAACAGGGCTTAGTGAGAGGCACACTGAGACCCCAAAGGTCACCTGAAGCAACAAAGAGAGGACCGAACACATGGCAAATGCAAAGTTGTTTCCTGAGGGGCAGGCAGCAGGCTCCCACACCCCTCCCAGAACACATGAGCAGCCAGGGCAGGGAAAAGGGATCAGGATCAAGTTATTAGTTGTAGGAGTTCTGGGAACTACTGGGACCTTAAGACATGAGAAAATCAGGCTGATAAACCATTAAGCCATCATTAGACCGGAAGAACCAGGTGATAACACTCAACCCAGCAGTTTGAGGCTCATGGTAAGACCCAGGATCCCAAAGTCAAGTCCCTCGGACACCCTGGTAACAGGCAACAATTAGTGTACCAAGAGTAGTAACACCTGGGGCAGCCTGGAGAGAAAACAGCTGAGGCACGAAAAGCAAAGCCCCACTCTAGAGCTAGCAACATCCCGATGTTATCTGGAGGACCCCTGACTTCTGGGCCCCCAGGAGAATGGAGGTAAGGTGTAACCAGTCTGAAAGGTGGTTCCCTGCTCCAGCCCCTCGGGACTCCAGTAATGCTCAGTTTATCTGCAAGGGGACTGAGCCACCCTCTCGGGACACAAGGAAAGGTTCAGAGGGACAGCAGAGAATCCCTCCACTTCACATCCATGGTAGGACAATTTGGGCACCCATGGGATTACGCTGGTCAGTCAATCCCAGACGGACCACTCTCTAATCATGTTACACAGAAGGACCACACCCCCTTGCTCCTCCCTTTGCACCAGAGAGAACCTAAGAGGACCCGGTGACAGTGAGCAATCAGTGAGCTCAACCGGCCAGTGAGCTCAGCCCTGGACCCGGCCCAAGAAGAACTGGAGGGGATCAGGAGTCCCCAAGGCCTCCCCAGGATTTAAATACCCGATTCCACCCCTTTAAACGCTGCTCTGTGACCTGCCTTTACCTTGTCAACATCTCCGCGACACAACCAACAACAAACTTTAGTCATTCATCTCTCCAATTCTTCACTTCTGAGATGAACTGAGCTCAGGCTCAGGGACAGGGTGCAGGGAGAGCCCTAGTATAGTGCCCTCGGACCGATTCCCAAGGAATTCAGGACCACCACCCCCCACGTCCATCGGGGCCACCTCCCCGAGGGCATTCGAGCAGGGGCGGAGAGGGCGAGGACCACCCACGTGGTAAACAAGATGCCCGCGAGAGGCGTTCCGTTCCAGACCTCGTCCGCCGCTGCCCACACCAACACCCACCCGCTGGCCTGCGCCTCTGAGCAGCTGGCAGAGCCTTCAGGGACGAGGTGTGGGAAGTAAAGAGGAAAGCCCCGGGTCCAGCCCGGCACAAACACTGGGAAGAGACGTCGGGGTACAGTTTGTCATGTCCCTCTAGTCACACTCGTTTTCCTGACCTGCTCCCACATGCCGGCCAGCCTAGACCAAAGCTCTCCTTTTCTCGCAGCTCCTAGAGTTCCTCCCGCAGCCCCTCCCCTTACCTGACGACCCCCCCAAGATACGGGTACCTCCCCGATCCCTGACCTCATGTGACCCGCCCCCCC